CTAAATCACAACAGTAGATATTCTCAGAGAAAATTACAAAACTGTTGAGTTAGCCAACACAAATCAAAGAATCAAAGAGTTCAAACACATAGAATAGAGAACACAAAGGTTTTGGTTCATAAAGGGGAGTTGACCAATGTCCATAAGTGTTGATAAAAGTCCATAAATGTTGTAGAATGTTGAGTGTCCAGGATCATCACCACAGTCCTTTTAGCTAGACCCTCTAACAGTCTGACAGACCCTCCTGCCATTGGCAAGGGAAAACTCTAAAACCCAGAGGGAAAAGGTGAGGTCCACCCCCCCAATCAAACTCAGTAATATTCATGTGCTGCCTCTTAAAGGTTCCTGGCCCGAGTGGAAAGTACCAGCCCTGGGGTAAATGTTGAGAGCTTAAACAGTTCTCCAAACATTCCAGAGTTTGTACTTTGTGAAAAACCACTCAAAATGTGACCAAGACCTTAGAATAATCAATGACTCTTCTGGCCACCCTGGAAAAGCCATGTTCCAGGGAAGATATCGTTTGTTGAGAAGCAGGTCTAGGGTTGCCAACCGTCCCTTGAAATTCATTTTAGTCAATAGATTACATTCTAAAAACTGTTATTATGAAGTTCCATGATTACTGTGTAGATTGAAATTAAGACTAAAAAGTGCTCAACCCGATCCACGCAAATGATGTCCCCTTATTTTTTTTCTCAAGTTGGCAACCCTAAGCAGGACATCTCGTTTTGCTAACAGCTTCTTTCCACAAACTGCTATTATTTCTGTACTTTTAACCTTGTTTTAGGTATGTACTTGTCTTGTGCACACTGAGGACTTTTTCACGAGGATTCCAATGTGGTTTTACTGCAAACGGCAAATAAAATGAATCCAAATCTGAAAAAGTACCATAAACTGACAAAGGTCCCTCCCTGCTGTGTGGTGTGGAAACCAATACAGTGGAGATGATTATTTTAAAGGATGGTAAACAGTATTTAGTATAGACTGAGTATCCAACTTTGGACCATGGACAACATGAGCCTAGTTTTTTACTTACTAAACTAAATACTGATGATTTATTCCCAGAGCACTGACCTGTACATGATGATAAATAATGTCCCGGAGAGAACATGTATTTTTTCTTCACTGCACTCAATATTTACTGTCTGTACATCAAGCACGAGGGAAGAGCAGAGTTAGTGTTTGTAATATTAAACTTGAGCTGCAGACAAATGAATCACGTCTTTGGCTATTTATTGTTTCTTCTTGCTATATTTAACATTCTTTGCATTTTCATTCTGGGATTATCCGGGTGTATTTTATCACTGTCACCAAGCAGCTTACATAATATCATTTAAAATATATATTCAGCGTAACATGCAACAGTGTGTTTACGACTGAATCTGTGTATTCTGTAAATCTAATGCAAATACCTTGAAATATTTATCTATTTGACTCCATACTCATGATTATTTGACTCCATATTCAAAGCAACACGGATAAGAACAGGTCTAAAATTAGTCAGACTGCATTTACCCCTGAAACTATCCTTTCTTTAGGCCAGTCCCTGTGCTCCTCAGTCTCAGCAGGAAGCCAGTCCCTGTGCTCCTCAGAGTCCCAGCAGGAGGCCTGTCCCTGTGCTCCTCAGAGTCTCAGCAGGAGGCCAGTCCCTGTGCTCCTCAGAGTCCCAGCAGGAAGCCAGTCCCTGTGCTCCTCAGAGTCCCAGCAGGAGGCCTGTCCCTGTGCTCCTCAGAGTCCCAGCAGGAGGCCTGTCCCTGTGCTCCTCAGAGTCCCAGCAGGAGGCCTGTCCCTGTGCTCCTCAGAGTCCCAGCAGGAGGCCTGTCCCTGTGCTCCTCAGAGTCCCAGCAGGAGGCCTGTCCATGTGCTCCTCAGAGTCCCAGCAGGAGGCCAGTCCCTGTGCTCCTCAGAGTCCCAGCAGGAGGCCTGTCCCTGTGCTCCTCAGAGTCTCAGCAGGAGGCCAGTCCCTGTGCTCCTCAGAGTCCCAGCAGGAAGCCAGTCCCTGTGCTCCTCAGAGTCCCAGCAGGAGGCCTGTCCCTGTGCTCCTCAGAGTCCCAGCAGGAGGCCTGTCCCTGTGCTCCTCAGAGTCCCAGCAGGATTCCAGTCCCTGTGCTCCTCAGAATCCCAGCAGGAGGCCAGTCCCTGTGCTCCTCAGAGTCCCAGCAGGAGGCCTGTCCCTGTGCTCCTCAGAGTCCCAGCAGGAGGCCTGTCCATGTGCTCCTCAGAGTCCCAGCAGGAGGCCTGTCCCTGTGCTCCTCAGAGTCCCAGCAGGAGGCCTGTCCCTGTGCTCCTCAGAGTCCCAGCAGGAGGCCTGTCCATGTGCTCCTCAGAGTCCCAGCAGGAGGCCTGTCCCTGTGCTCCTCAGAGTCCCAGCAGGAGGCCTGTCCATGTGCTCCTCAGAGTCCCAGCAGGAGGCCTGTCCATGTGCTCCTCAGAGTCCCAGCAGGAGGCCTGTCCCTGTGCTCCTCAGAGTCCCAGCAGGAGGCCTGTCCCTGTGCTCCTCAGAGTCCCAGCAGGAGGCCTGTCCATGTGCTCCTCAGAGTCCCAGCAGGAGGCCTGTCCATGTGCTCCTCAGAGTCCCAGCAGGAGGCCAGCCACTGTGTTCTCCTCAGAGTCCCAGAAGTGCACTCCTCGAAATTCAAGTTAGACCCTCCTGTATCGACAAGGAACGACTCAATAACCCACTGAGCAAAACAGGGAAAGCTCCGGGAGACCCAAGATCCATTCAGAACACTCCCAAAAAGAATGGATTGGGAGCACAATTCTTCCAGACAATCCGTGGAGTGGGCCTTTTATCTTTTGTTTTTTGGAAGTCTCTTCTCTGCCGTGTAACTACTACGCCACGGCATACCTTCTGTCTGCTCCACCAGCCCGCGACAGGCCGGCTATACCCAAAACAACTGGTACTAACATAATGCACGCAGCTGTCGCCAATGCATCACTGACCCCATGTTCCCCTGTTTCGGGTTCACCAAACACACACTTATCCTTCCTGTTTGGGCACTGGCATCAGTGTGGTCTCTTGTGACGGTACCAGATGTGAGCAGAATGTTTCACCGAAATATTTCCGTCAAAGTCATATGTTTGTGGATGTAGATGAAATAAACAGTAAGAGTGTAAAGCTGGAGTATAAGCGCTTGTGTGCATTTTAAAGGGGACATATAATGTATTTTTTTGAGCTTTTAAGCAAGTTTCAAGATTGCTCCCCTTGTCAAATACAGACCTGAAGTTTTTTTTAGATCCATGCACGCTAATGTCAGGAACTTCTGGCACAAATATGTAACTCCTTCCCTTTTGTTTTAAAGCCCCCTGTCTTAGTCCTGTAATAGTATGACGTCATTATAACACTGTGACATTACAAACAAAAATCATACAGATTCAAGCCCTTCCCCTAGTGGCAGCATAGGGATAGAGCAGGCCCATAGCAATACTTACCCTTGGTCACAATCTATTTAATTTCACGACAAAGTTAATTCTATCATTATCATTTGTAATGGCCATAAAAAATGTGTGATATTTCTTGTGAAAGTTATACTAATGTCTGATTACAAATGATTCATATTTGGTTGGATCAGAACAACTTCAGTTTGAAATAAAGGATTTAGATCAGATTGACCAGAACTCTCAACCAGACCAAAACCCAAGAACATTTCTGTAGTAATCTTGAGAAGAAAACATATCATATATATAATTTAGTTCAGTAATCTAGTCGCTGCCCCTTCAAATTAATAGGATATAGTGGCTTTGGGATATGTTTTGGATACCCCCCTGTCAAAGGCTGTTATACTTTACCCTGTACTTATAATAGTACAATTTATTTTCTGTTTAGTCCCTCTTTTATTCTGAGCTGTGACATGTCCTCTGTCCCAGAAATAAAAAAAACAACAACATTACTTTCAGTGGCTCAGACATCACTCGGACTGTAAATAGTGCCAACAAAGTAGTAAGAATAAATTGGAATTCCTTGCCAAAATGAATATTGGAGTGGCACCAGGTTTAGAAGGACGGGCCTTAGTCAGTTCAGCACAATGGACAGCGACACTCAATGCGATGGAGAAAACGCCTGTCTAGTGTATAAGCACGTATAATTCAAAGAGTAGTTGGAATGACTTGGGTTGCCATTTAATTTCCAAATCCAAGTCAGTTTTGACCCACTATGCCTCTTTTCGATTAACATGATAATAAATAAGTCTGGCCAATTTATTTTAGGATTCTATGGCTTTTCCTTTTTCGTTATGGGCCTTTTTTGCTCAAGGTAGTTTGCATTCAGAATCAAGGATGCTTTTGGTTGGTCCCAAAGGAGCAGCGAGGAACGCAGTCAGACCTAAGATTCCCTCTGAGCTTCCGCCGAGAACCACTTAAAACATTGAGTGCGCCAGAATGCTTTTTGGAAAGGAGGCTGCAACTATTTTAATTCAGCTTCTCTGTTTGAAAGAGCCTCCATTCCAATCCTCCTGGTCTTGTTCGCACTTTTACCCACGCGTTTGTGTGACTGGCAGTGAATCAACAATATCGGAGGCTGTCAGGTTCGTTGCAGTCATGCGCTGAACGAGGTGGAACCATTGCGCGCGAAACACCCAAGTCACACCCCGCACGCGCCTCCTTATCAATAGATCTGACGTTACGCGAAGTTAAAGTGCTCTGACAGCAGGGGAAAGTGACGGATGGTGCCAAGAGAGAGTGAATCGTGTGAAAGCAGAGCGCGCTCGGGAGAGGAGAGCAAAAAAGGAGAGGGAGCGCGCATGTTCAGTCGCTTTCTCCAATCGCCGGAGCGAGTTTTCCCTCTTCCACTCTTTCTCTCTTCCATGTGCACCGGACGCACTGCTCGCTCCTGAGCGGACACTGCAGGGGCAAAGGAAGCCGCGAAAAGCACCATGGAATAAGGAATACGGTTGGATAAAAGCAGCAGGGGAACCCTCTTCTTCCTGGCGCCTTTTCTTTTTTCTCTTTCTCTGTCGTCTCTCGATGTCTCTCAACAGTTTCTAAAGGGACCGAAGGGAGGAAACATGAGGATTATTCTTATTTCTTGGCACTTTCTTGGGGTGTATTCCGCCCTGTGGGAATTGGCAGCCGGGGCTTTTCCGAGCTCGGTGCAGATAGGTGAGTGGCAAACATTCAGTCTCACATTTGACTTTAATTTGAGTGACATGTAACGGCGCGGACACCACCTGCGTGCCACATGTAAGACCGTGACAAGTCAAATATGTCCCTGCTGCAGCGTCACTCAGGGCCACAGTTGTTCAGATTTGCTTGTTTTTGTGCCGTTAAACTGTAGACTTTTGCATGTGTTGTGTGTGTGCCTGTATGTTCCTGTGCGTTTTGTTGCCTCTTCTCACTGTTTAGACACTGCAGTATTCTCCCCCTCTCCCTCTCCGCTTCTGTCAGTGCGGGAGAAGCCTTAGATCTTACAAAGTTCGTCAAATTACGATTGTCGTTGGAGTGCGCGCAGAATCACACATGCGTAAAGAGCTGAAATATTCCTCTCTGTCTCCTTCTGTTAGACTACTCCGGCACATATGCACACAGGCGCGCGTCACACTCAATGCACTGCATCAGTCCTCGCGGGGGGCAGATGGGAGGTCCTATAATGAGATTCAGCTCTTTGACTCTGTCTCTATACGTCTGCCAATAAACTTAATGTGCTAAACATCCTGCGCCTCATGCACTGGGACTGGTGCTGGATGGAGCTGCTGCTGGAGCTATATGTGCAAAGTGGATTATCAATGTAAATGCCACGTCTGACATGGATTAAGTCGAATTACTGTTGTAGTTTTAGGGTTTCATAAAGTTTAGTCCTGTTTGTATCCGTGGGTGAAGTGCATCCTTCTATTGGATTCCCTCATGGCTCACTGAAATCTGCAGCAAGGCATTGCTTTCACATCATCTGCTCACAGCTGAGCGCCACTTCTGGGTTTTATGGTTTATATTTGGACGTGGCATCAGTGGGATTTGATTAACAGGCGAAAATGATTGTATTTATTTACTCGTAGTCATTCCACATCCTTCTTCCTTTAGAGTCATCGTCTCTGTCTGTTTGTGCTTTCATATATATTTTCCTTGTGCCTCCCCATCTTTCTTACAGTCTCTTATCTTGCTGTCAGTTTAACTTCAAGGAGGCATACTGTGCAAAATCAGCATTTATTCTGTATTTTAATCATGTTACAACAGTGTTCCCCTGGAGTTGATGTTTAGATCCATCCATGCAATTTGCAGGATCTTCTGGCACAAACATGTAACCCCGCCCCTTCTGTCTAAAATGTGATAGTATGATGTCATTGTACCACTATGACATCACACTAAGAGCAGCTCCCTGCCTTTTAAAGCAAACCTTTTTTTTTTTTTTTTTTTTTGGTATTGACTTTTTTTGCAATTACATGTCTGTGTTTGCAGCTGGTCATTTTCAAATTTGTAAGAAATCAATACTTCTAATTCTACAGCTCCCTCTGGTGGTAGCATAGGGCCAGGGCAGGTCGATAGCACTATATACGCTTTATAATTATTTACACTGTTATATTATTTTCTAGATATTATTACACATGCCAAAGTAACTAGTCTCATTATCATTTTTTACGGACAAAAACGATTTCGTCTTTTCTACCTCATACTATGGTATTATGGAAGTTGGTCTCCCCCTTTTCCTCTCGGGGCCCTCTCTGTGGTGGTCTTCAGATGCATGTGCTGCTGGTCCCTCTCTCTCTGCCACACATGCACAGCCCTGGCAGAGTGTGTGCCTGGCTCAGCTCTAGGGCCATTCACCTAGAGTCATTTGCATACCTCTGCAATGCTCAGCGGTGCACAGGCGCAAACAGCTTCCTCTATGTTCTGTGGTAAAGAGCATGGGCCACAGCACCACCTCCGCTGCAGACAAGCACTTTCCCGTTCTGTCAATTTATGCACAAAGGAATAAAGGAAACTGCATACAAAATATACTTGCAAGCATAGACGTCTCTCCCAAAGTGGTTGTCATGGTAATGTTGTGCCATGACTCAAACTTAATGGTCGACAATTATACAGGTGAAACTCTGAAAATTACAATCTTGTTCAGTTATTTCTGTAGTTCAGAATTTGAAAGCAGAATATGATATAGACCCATTGGTGATGATTATGGATTATAGTCCTTTTCGAAATGTTTTTTGCAACTGTTAGACATGATTATTAGCGTTATAACAAATACAGTCTTGATATGTCTCACTCTGCCTGTGATATTTATAGTTGATTATTTTCACATTGAAAGTTGAATGGGGCGACAGTGGCTCAGTTGGTAGAGCATTGGCGTTTGAGCCTGAAGTTCGTGGGTTTGAGCCCACCGAGAGACTTTCTCGTCCTACTCCACTGTTGTCTGCTGTTGTTGTATCCGACACTGAACCCACTTTGCCTATAAGGAGCGTGGAAGTAATGTTCGCTGCATGTGTGTATGTGTATTCATGAAACTGAAATTGGGACGAATGAAGGACCTTCTTCTAAACAGAATTATAAGTAAAAGGACTTTTGAACGATATTCTAGTTTTCAGAGTTTCACATATATCATAGACTGTAAAAAGTCACGCCTATCTCCACCGTTGAAACTAATGTGCCACCACTTTTGCCTTCTGTGGGGCTTTTTCAAAATGGCCGCGGGGCAGACAAATTTGAAAGTGCCTTCTGAAGTCCACAGCGGTTAAACAGACGGTTCCAAAAAAGATACTTCAGCATTGACACGCACCTGGAACAATGAGAATAAGAACTCATTGTCCAATGATCTCAAACCCGAATCCAATTTGAATCCAGTGGATTACCTGTGTTCTTGCTCAGTTTAAGATTAGGATCAAGAGATCCTTTGTTCTAGCCTGACTCTCGCCGGACCCTTGTAGATCGCTGCGCTTCTCACAGGGTCTGGGTCTGAGCCATAGCGGTGGGATTTCAGAAGGAGGGGCCTTGTAAAAAAAATTCTTGTATGTGATTGGATAAACCACTTTGTTTGTTATTTTGAATGACGTCTTCCTTCAACCACTCACATCGAAGCACACTACTCCCATGGGTTGCCAAATGCCGGTAAGATTTTTCCAGCCCAAAACCCGCGAGAATGCTCAAAAATAAAAACACAGAGAATGATTTTTTGGCTAAAAACGTAATGTAATCAACTTGGGCTATCACGATTCTGTTTATTGTCTTTCTGTTTATTTATTACCTACAAGTCTCTTGAGAAAAACTATGCAGGAAACCACCGAACCTGGCAACCCTGCTGCGTAGTGTTGTAAACAGGGACACTTAAACCAAACTTTACATGAACATTTGACTCTTAAAACACACATATAACAACATGGAACCATCAACATCTCGCCTCATATTGCATTAAAAGTGACATCTGTGTCTTAATTTGTTCGTATTTATACTTATGGCCACTTAAAAGTGGCCAAAATGACGTGCGCTGACATGCTGCAATACCACCCCGGGCCGATGGGGGTGGACCCGGAATAAGAATTATTCAATGCTAACATATAGCAATAGCTTACCCCTCGGAAATGTCTTTACAGGATGGACCAAAAGTTGGCTCTTGGCCCAAAGCTCCGTTCCACATGTGTGTCAATGCTGAGGGGGGTGTTTTGGACCAGTCTAGTTTACTTGCTGTGAATTTAAAGGCACTTATTAAATGAATGGGGCTCGCGCCGGCTGACGCATGCGTAGATGCGTTTTTTCACAATTTTCTTGTGGCCAAGACCACTCGCGGCCATTTTGGATAGCTTCAGTACAGCACAATTTTTGGCCCCTTTGTTTGAACGGCGGAGATAGGTGAGACTACGTCCGTTAATATTTACAGTCTATGAGCGTGAGACACGCTTGAGAACGCGGTGAAAACCCGACGTAAAACGGCGATCCTGATTGGTCTATTATTTTCTAAACTGCTGAAGGAGGCTGGTATGCGCTTGATCCCACACCCTTGCGCGTGAAGCGAAACGCCTCTGGTGGAGCATGGCGACAGCCAGGCTACTTTTGTTCACTCCATGTGGGAAAATGTCAGTGTTGCAGCACATGTTACAGTAAGAATGAGGAGCACAAAAACATAAGATATGTGAAATGTAAATATAGCACAACTCTATAATACATTTTTAGCTTGAAAAAAAAATCAATTAGTATGAACATAGTATAAAGTATAAACCTATATACTCCAGTGTAAAGACATATTTTCTGATATCTATTAATAATTACGTCTGTTTTATGAAATCATTATTTAGTCGACATTAATCTAAAATGTAACTTAACCACAATGAGACATTACATGACACAATTATTTACAAAATGCTTCATGAGACCTGATTATCTTTGAGTCATGTTTTTCGGGTGAGTTTAAACATTGTCCTTGAAATGCCCATTCCCACCAAGCCCCGGTGATCCAAGATGGTGCCCATTCAAATCAATGGCCTGTGCTCAGTATATAAAAATACACGGGGACTGAAAATGTAGCAGAACTCTTCCATATTTGGGCATCGTCTGGTCCTCCCGGTTCTGCGCAATGGACGAGCTCCCATGATGTGACTCTCATGTACGTGCACAGAGGGGCTCGGTCACGCTCTGACCAATCAGAGCTGCTGATCAGAGCGGAGTTAGAGCGGGAGACGATCGAGCAGAGTTTGTGGCAGTAAAGTGTGGATTTAAAGAAAAAGCAAAGGATTTAAGAAGAAAAAAGTTCAGGATGACAAGGGACACTAAAATCCTCACATAATCTGACTTTTATGAAAGTTGTTGGTTCTCTGTCAGGTTCTCTGTCAGGTTCTCTGTCAGCTGAGGTCGAGTTGTTTTAGTTTACATTAAGTTCTATGGGACATTTTTCTGGGTAGTCCACATGAATTTAGTTTGCAGTACCACGGGCCCATTGGTGGGACAGCTGTAAGCTAGTAATACCCTATCCAGATATTATTATAAATCCATGATTCCCACTTCCAATTTGACTTTAGTGGATTAGCTTTGTTCTCACTCATTATGCTAGATCTACTTTTTCATGGGTGGTGTTGTGGTTAGCACTTGTACTTCATAGCAAGAAGGTCCTAGGTTCTATTACAGCTCCAGCCTTTCTGTGTGGAGATTGCATGTTCTCCTCATTTCTGTATAGGTTTACTCCTACC